AAACCCCTCTTTCCTCCAACAATCCAAATAAGAAGAATTTGTTTACAAATTTTGCATAAGTTATTGTTGTCCTCAATATGTATTTTAAAGGGAATGAAAGCTAAGTTCTTAGCATGCAGACATGAAGCCTGAAGGGCCCAAAGGAAGCCAAGGAGAAAACGTAGAGAAACTGCCGGCTACATTCTTATTTCACTTAAAAATGATAACATTCAAACTAATTTACTTAAAATAATGTTTATCGACTTTTCAGCTTACACGCTCATTAAGCCCATGTCCAGTATAAATTAAAATCAGATTTTTAGTTGATTTTGATAAAAGTTAAGAAAATATGTGATTGAAAAGTTGTGGATTTCATGAAATATGTAGTGAAAATTAATTATTAACTTTGACGTGAGATTAAAATCAGATTTTAATAAAAATCAAACATGGGCTAAGACTCTTGGTGGACTTTGATAAAGGACAATTATTTTTAATGGATATTAAGATAAAATAAATGTATTTTACTTCCAAGTGCTTTGCTAAATCCGTGGCCTCGCCTCCAAAGGATGGAGAGGGTATACAACATCGAAGGGATGGGGGTAAACTTGCATCTTGTGTTACCCAAGAGTTGTCGAATTGCTCAATGACTGAATCAAAAAAGGTTTTTATCGATTTCTCTTTTCTTCTCCTCAGCACTCTAGGACCGATTATCTTGCTTCAAGAAAGTTTTAGAAATCAATCTACTGCTTCAAATTATTTCCATGACCTTTTATTTTCTTCCACAATATTTATATGATGACCACTGAATTTAGAGAAAATAATAGCTAGTTGCTACGAGAATTCTAGATATTGGGGTTGAGTTAGTGTTAAAATCAACTCATTTTGAAAATAGACTTGATCAATATTTTCGTGACTCTCGTTGATAAAGTGAACTTTACCAGTGTAAAAAATGTGACAATATCAACTTCTGCAGGATGATCGCAACTTAGTTGACGATAAACTAGGGTTATTAAACTCAAACGCAATAGTTACAAGACTATTGATGGTAGAGGAGTTGATGTCCACATTGCATATGGAGTTAGCATTACTATACAATTTGTCACTAATGTTATTATCCATGTTATTAAAATTCACCACATTGTTCCAGCCTCTGGTAGGATGATCAGGGGTTCCCTTAAACATATTGGTTTAAGGACAGCAAGTGATGGAGATGCAATCTCTGTGTTTGGTTCTAATCATATTTGGATCGACCATTGTTCATTGTCAAGATGTCCCGATGGCCTCATTGATGTCATCATGGCTTCAACTGCTATTACCATCCCCAACCGCAAATTCAATCATCACAATGACGTAAGTTTATATAGTTGTTAGAAACTGACTGCTTCGAGAGCTACCTCACAAGTTGAACCAACTCATTTAAAACTTAAATGGTTCTTGTGCATGGCACTATAGAAAATAAGCGCATAGATAAGGTCTTTTTCGTGATTAGTAAATGTTTTATGGCCTAATGTAGGTGATGCTATTGGGAGCAGATGATGGATATGGTGAAGATAAGATCATTCAAGCCACAGTTGCATTCAACCGGTTCGGAAAAGGTTTGATTCAAATAATGCCAAGGAGCCGATGGGATTTCTTCCATGTTGGCAACTACGATTACTCCCACTACCAACTATACGCCATTGGTGGCAATGCAAACTCCACCATTATTAGACAGGACAACAGGTTCAAAGCCCTGTACTTGCTTAAAGTTAAACTTCACAAGTTTCTAATAACTGATTTATAAGTCGATCTCACATGGCATGACATATCACCTCCAGAATGAGAACAGTCATTTAGCAGTCAACCATTCAGCAACGTCGAGCCAAAGGCTATATTCCAGGCAAACAAGGCCTAGCTAGGAAGACAAGCTCACATATGGTAATGCACCAATGCACCCAAAGGTCAGATAGCCCAGCTCGGACTAGGAAATTCGAGAAAACACAGTTGCTTAGCCCAACAAACATAATTGTATTGACCTGATGCAGAGATCACCTAACATGTAGTGTAGATCATTTACAAATCCATAATGTGTCCGGGAAGCTGAAGTCTGACCAGCCTACCTAAGTGGCCTAACATGAAAACGAGGGAGTCACAAACACCTTGCCATTTCAATCCGGGCATGTCCCGTCTTAGGAAAACCCTGTCGGATTTTCTATGGTGGTAGAGTAGCATGACTAAGTATCAAAGCAGAATCGACTGCCCTTGTCTCCAATCGTTCAAAGAATAGCCTAGAAATAATCTGTATATCTTTTCAAGTCACTCCTATCAAACTAAAGCCAGTGAACTTTTTAAGTCGTTGTTCTCCATTATTGTTCTAATCTTCTCCACATCCCCCCACTTTTCTTGTCCAGCATATATGTTGGACAAAATAACAAACGGAATCATGTTTTCATGCTCCAACTCTGAAAGTCTCTTAAGCCATTTCCTCTCCTAGCTTGGAATCTGAATGATACAGGTGCCAAGCAAAGAAGTGATAACAGAAGTAGACGTTTCGGATATCCCTTGTAATAATTCACAAGCTTCATTCAGTCTGCCTGATCGACCAAAGAGATCAATCATGATGTTGATTTGTTTGGCAGTTGGATTTAGACCACATTCTTCACTTATCAATCTGTATCTGCCATCCTTTTTCAATTTGACCAGTATGTCTACACAGAGACAAAAGGCAATTGAAAGTAACTAAGTTTGGCTCAACTTTGTTCTTGATCATCACATTGAATATTTCAAAAGCAGCTTCACTCTCCCCATTCCTTCTGTACCCAGAAATCATAGCATTCCAAAATGTTGGATCATAAGGCTTTGTGCTGAACTGATTGAAAACACAGTTTGCCTTCGAAGGTTGCCCACATTTATGTACATGTCAATGAGTGCAGTAGCAACAAATTCATCTCTGTAGGTATCAGTCCTCACAACATATGAATGAATCTCTTTTCCGCAAGACAAGGCAGTAAGAGCTGAGCAAGCCAGTAATAGGCTAGTGATGCATTTCATACATGGTGTTATGCCACAAGATACCAACTTCCCGAAGAACATGATGGCTTCATCGACCATTCCTGACTGAAAAAGCACTTATCATTAAATTCCATGTCGCCGAGTCTGGTATGAATTCTTCTAAATCCAACTGGACAAAAAGTTCAATGGTAATTTCAATATTTTCGTTCAACATCATTCCAGCGATCATTAAGTTGCAAGTCACTAGGGTCCTTTTACAACTCATTTCTTTAAAGAATTTGTATGCACAATGCCAAGAACCACATTTTGAGTACATATCCACAAGTGCAGTTCCAACTTTAGAATCAAAATCCAAATCAGCTTTAATTATGAAGGAATGAAGCTGCATACCAAATTTGATATCCCTACCATTTGCACAAGCAGAAAGAACTGAAATCAGGGTGGGTCACAGAATTGGCTTTCTCATTTTAACGCTCTTTCAGTTCGTTAAACACGTCTAATACCATTTCAAAACCATTTTGCAGTAGCCCTAATATATATAAGCATAATAACACACCAAAATTTTATCCACAACCAATCCAAACAACCTAATTGCAGAAGCCAAACCTGCACGCACAAGCAGAAAGAACTGAAATCTGGGTGGGTCACATAATTGGCTTTCTCATTTAAACACTCTCTCAGTTCGTTAAACACGTATTATACCATTTCAAAACCATTTGCAGTAGCCCTGATATATATAAGCATAATAACACACCAAAATTTTATCCACAACCAATCCAAACAACCTAATTGCAGAAGCCAAACCTGCACAACTAAGATACATCGTCATAAGCGACGTGGCAGCATAAATATCAATTTCAACACCAATTTTGATTGCCAAACAATGCACTTGCACGCCATTCACCACATCACAGTAGCTATAGTAACCGAATCGCGCTTATCATTCGCAACACTAACTAGTTTAAAGAGTTTGAAAGCTTCTTCGCAATCCCCATTATGCAAAATCCCAGAATAACAACATCGACGGAACCTATACTTGGGTCAGGCATTACATCGAACAGTTTGATGGCCTCATATAATAAGTGAAATTTCATATACATGTGTAGTTAGGTCTGTGGCTGTGTTAATGTTTGTATGATGCCCAGTTTTGATGAGGTGGGCATGGAGCATATGATCATGGGAAAGGGGCATTGAACTTGGCACAAGCTTTGAGGAGGTAAGGAAGGTGAATTTGGTAGCGCCGAGAATGAAGCTTTGTGTAAAGTGCAATGGCTTCTTGGTAGAATCCATAATTTCGCTATTTGGTACATTATAGAATGTCTGGCATACTGAAAGCATTAGTGTAGATAGAAGTCGACACGTCGGTAGAATCCATAATTTCGCTATTTGGTACATTATGGAATGTCTGGCATACTGAAAGCATTAGTGTAGATAGAAGTCGACACGTCGGTGTACATACCCTTTATAAGAGAGGTTTCATGATTTTTTACTGGTCGTGGACCCCCCTATTCTGAGGGATGTACAAATAATAAAATTCATAATAAAAATTGCTTCTTTATAGAGTATAAATACATGTTAGTTGTGAGTAGAAAAATGCTATTCATCCCCAGTGGGGATGCATTCCCAATCTATGTGAATGTAAATGATTGGTTAAATGATTGGTGAAATTAAATGACTTATTTAATTTCACCTATTATTTAATACCACATAGACTAGGGATGTATCCCCACTGAAGATAAATAGCATTTCTCAATAAAATATTATACACACAAACATATAAAGTTATTTTAAATTTCAACCACACGTTCTCCAAAAAATACTATTCATTGCTATATTTTTCTCTCAATAATGGGAGACAAACAAACCCTAAGAGGTGTATTCAATTGAGATTTATGAAGATTTTTATAAATAATTTTTAAGTGATGATTTACGT